TTTTTTTTGGCATTGCAGGTTTTCAATCGCCTCCAAGAGTTGGATGAGAAGCGCACAGGCGGCATACGTGAATTCATAATTGGCACCGCAGAGGTTGAATCGGCCGTAGCGCCTATTATTGCACGGTGCATGGAGGGTATTGTTAAGGCGGGCGAGTCAATAAACGAAAAGGAGGACTCCTTTAAAGTCATAGAAAGGTTGCTGCTGCTGTCAATTTAAGCTTTTATTTATTTATTTATTTATTTATTTGTATTTGGCAATTTGCAGATATCAATCGGGCTTCACACCACCAACTGACATACCATTCGATGATTTGTCAAAGCAAAATCTTGATTCATCATCAGATTCCCGTGTGCAGTCAAGTCATTTCACCGTTAAGGGCACCATTAGCACGAGAGTCAAGAAACGCCCAGCGATTTTCAGCTTCTTCGGCAGCAATAAGGTAAGTGCGTAGTGTAATTTTAGAATGTTCGGAAAATAATAGTCGATGTAAACTAGAAATGTTGGCTCTTAAATAGGATTTGAAGAGTAAACATGTTTTCTCTAAAGAAATGTAATAGCTTATAGATTCCAAATACTTAGAATGCATACATACACTGTTATAAAATAAAAAAAAAAAAAACAGGCCGAGGTTAGAATGTTATTTTGTAACACCTGAAAGAGTACAACAGACAATTCCAACTGTTGTCGTTTTTTTTTTTTTTAATCACCGGCCGCTTTCTATGTTTGAGGCATGGATATCAGACAATCTACATATCGCTAGCTTAGACCGAAAATTGCTAGGTCCGCTTTTTGTGAAAACCATATTTTCATATACATAGGTACTTGTTTTATTTTTTCTCTTTTATATTCAATGGAAAGCAAATTTGTCAAGTCCAAAAGAGGCACCGAAAATTCAACAAAATCAAAATAATACGAAATCTATATTAATAAAGATGGAATCCTTCTTATTCGTATGTAATTTTGCTTTGCTTCAAACACGTAAAATGTTGTATTCAAAAATTTGCAAAATACTTGAAGAAAATGGCTATAAGAATTAAAAAAAAATTAAAGAAAAAAATATGGACTTGGCAACTTTACACTCTAAGCCAGCGATATACGTTCCTGCAAAACGACTTCAATGTTTGCCACTTTAAATATTAAAAATACTCTCTTACTTATGGCTTGCTAATACCACATTTCTCAAGCTTTTATCAATGAAATTTTATACCAGAAATCGACAGTGAGATTCTAAAAAATAAGTGTACTTTAAAATGTGCCGATCGAAGGCTTAGTAAGCTTAATATGAATTCGGTATCAAGTGCAGACGTTGCATACCTTTAGGCACAGCTATTATTTATGGAAAAGATTTGACTATAGCGGTTTAATGTAGAGATATCTGGTAACCCTACGCCTTCCAATATTACGCCGAAGATATTCCCCGTTTTTGTTTGTAAGTTTTATTAGCTGTTTAGGGAAATATCAGAAGCCAATCAGCTTTAACAGAAATACTTTTTTGTGCCTTAACAACTTATAGAACACATTTCTGCAACAGACCAAAACCATTTTATATATATGAAGAACTCGACGTATCTCTTTCTTTTACTTTCATTCCAAGCCGTTTACATATTTGGTTTTACTCCATTTGTAAAATCATTTCATGTTTTCTTTTTGTATTTCTTTTTTTGTAAATTTATTTAGTTTTTGTGCACTTAAGTTTCCTATTTAAACACACAATTTTTTTTTTGTTTGTCTATTACAAACGCTTTGGTTGTTGTTATGCTTTCCATATTTATCTCATAATGTCTTTTGTCTCTCTTTCTACTTTTTCTGTTCATTACCTATTGGATTACTGGGTACGCTCTTGCGAAATCACAATTCAATCTCTGCAAAACAAAAACAAATATATATATATATGTATCGCCAACAACAAAAATTAATGTCGAAATTTACATAAATATGTGTTATGAATAACCTCAAAATAATTGGAAAATTTGTGATTCCATACAAACGACGATTAAAATCTTTAATGTAAGTACCTACCTAATGTGCGTACAGCCTCAGCGTTTATACTTACATACATCCATGCATACGTGTTTCATGTACTTGTAGTGTTTTGTTGTCGTGCAACTATACATACATATCTCCATAGTGCAAATTTTGTTTGGCATTAAGCTCGGTGTGCTGTGGAATTACTAAAATTTAAAAATTGTAGTACTTAACAACTCGAAAATTTATAAAGTTTTATTTGATGTTTTATTAAATTGCTTTCTAATTTAAATTTAAGCTCCATAACATACCGAGCATTTAACACATTTTGGTACAATTTGACATT